GAAAATCACCTTGAAAATCACCAAACAAGTTCGAACGATAAAGTGATTTTGAAATTCAACCCCGAAGACATGGACAAGATTAGACTATAAATTTTCGAATTCCAATTTCTTATTTCTTATTGATCGTTTAATCTATAGTTTTTAGTCCAACATAAATCTTTTTCTAGCAGACATTTAGTATGCAAACAGGCAAAAGTTAAGGTAAAATGTAAATAAAATCACTTCGGTCTATTTCGTTTTGTAGGCCAAGATCATGGCTATAATAAGTAGACGTTTTCACAAAGGAAGAATTAATAAGGTAATTGTAGGATAATCTTGTTTGTGACATACATAAAAATTAAAACAATTCGGTTTCTTAAAATTAAAGTGCTTATGGAACGAAATTTAACCCAATTTTTTGCGTTAGTGCATGCATTCCAAAGAAAATTCAAATTTAAAAAAGATTATTTGCCCGTTGTTTTCTATTCTTATTTTTGTACTAATTTTTATAGAGAGCGAACATGGAATTGCTTCAACTTGCCAAAAACAAGAGCTTCCGAGGATCGTTTAAAACCACAACAGGAGACGGGACAATAGGTATGAGTGAGTCATTAATCTTTTGAAATCACAAAAATTATGTCGTTCCTGAGCTCTGATTTGGAAAAACTTAGGAAATGGCTAATTGCCAATAAACTTAGTCTAAATGTTGCTAAGACTGAGTTTATGTTAATTGGTTCAAAACAAATGATAAAAAATATTTCAAATTTGCAACTAAATGTGAAAATTGAAAACGAGTCAATTAAACAAGTTTATGAATCCAAAACTCTTGGAGTGACAATTAACCAGCATTTATCTTGGAAAACTAACACTGAGAATATTTGCAAGAAAATTACATCTGGAATATCGGCTCTTAGACGTTTAAAAGAATTTGCTGATAAGCAAACACTTCTTTCTGTATATAATGCTATTGTTCGCCCATATTTCGATTACTGCTGTGAAGTATGGGATGTGTTTGGAGAAACGCAATCAAAAAGACTCTAAAAACTACAAAACAGAGCTGCTCGGATTATTTTGAATATGAGCAATGACATAGATCACTCTGTTGCATTGCAAGCATTGGGTTGGAAGCCACTTAAAACAGAAAGGAAGAAAAATAAAGCAAAAATCATGTACAAATTATTGAATAAAATGGGACCCAAATCACTCAGTAATCTCTTCACATATAAGGGTGAGGTGACAAACTACAAACTTCGGAACATTTCAAGTAGTCTTTGTTTACCACAACCCGCGTACTAATAATATGAAAAAAAGTTTTGTGTATGACGGAGCACACCTTTGGAATTCTATTCCTAAAGAAATAAGAGAGAGCAAATCCTTTTCTTCCTTTCGAAAGAAAATCACTACTCACATTGACTGATACCTAATTAACATAGATGTTAATATTATCTGTATATAGATTACTACCTTAGTTTGTTAGTTCATATAATACTATATATCTTATATAATTTTGTAAATAGTTTTAAAATTCTTTTCTGTATACTTTTCGCACGCCCCTCGTGGAAATCAGCTTCGGTTGACGAGGTCAGCGTGTTTAAATAAAGTTTATCTATCTATCTTTATCTATCTATCTCTGTATGAGATGTATACATTCAGTAATAGGTATTATCGTTGGAAAGATGACATAACTGGAGAACAGTTTGGTTAATAATCTTTCCAAATATACCGCAGTGGTCCGGACAACTTGATAAAGACTAAAAATACCTTAGATATAATGGGAAGCATTCTGCTATGCGAAGAGTTATTTTTCTCTTCCAAATATTAATATTACTGAATTCCATTCCTTTTTTAATTCAATAGTGGACGTGCTTACCAGTAGTCTCGATCATCTATCCCGCATTAAAGGGTCACTGCCGATCAAATCTTTACTGAAGTTGTGTCGAAAACAACCAAATTGTAAGTAATGATAATAGTAAGCATGTGCGTTCGAGTCGATCTTTGTCTGATATGTAAACACGAAACGAAAAGTTTGTGTGTTACTCAAAACGAGTTAATACATTGATTAAATACTTAATTCGTTTGAATTCTTTCGTGAATTTGTTTTCATATGATGGCGAGTTTATTAAGAGGTTACTCCATCCCAGTTTCTCCTCACAGATTTGAAATGATGGAGTGGTCATTATTTATGAGGAGGGGGGGGGTAAATGGTAGGGGGAGCAAGTTTTACCTTACTCGTCAAAAAGTTTTAAGAAGGGGGTCAAAAAAGTTTTTGAACTTAAATACCATGTCTAGAGTTCTGGGGCCGGTTGTATAAAAAAGTGATTAAAGTTAACTATGCATGATTAAGTGCAAACGTCATTCAATAAGAAGCGGCTATTTGAGAGTTAATCACTATTTAACTACAAAATAGTGATTAAAAAAGTGATTAAGAGTTTCATACAACCGGCCTCAGATTTCTATAATTACAAAAAGAAGACTCTGAGAATGCCATTTCCAACGATCTAGAGACTGAAAATTTCCCTGCTCGACGCCACTTACCATGGTTGCGCCTCGTGGGAGTCGGACCCACTAAGTTTAACAAGCTTCCTACAACCTCCTAGTTGTAGTATTTACAGAAACATACCATACAAGTACACCTAACTGATCAGATTCTGTCTATCAAAGCACAATGTAACGCTGTATATCCAAAAATCTGTTTCAGAAAATGCTCACATTTCAGTCCTAGGAGTGGAAAAATACAAAAAAATTTCTGGGGGAGAATACCCCCAGATCCCCCTACTAGTACATACGATACCACACCAAACTTTTTGTCACCAACAACCATCTGTCATCTCTCCACACTCAGTATAGTATCAGGTCCCTTTTTGTAGATGCCCAGCCCCCAGACAAGTTCTTAAAACAGCCCTGTGTTCAAATCATTTCGCTGTATGAAGACGGGCCATGGGTTAGGGTTATGGTAGGACAAATGTTGCATTGCAAAGTAGTAACACATAATATGTTAATTTTTCAATCCACACTGGGGGGGGGGGTCAGAAAAGTTTCTACTTTTA